GCTGGAATACTTTTGAATAAATGACAGTAGCATAATTTTAAATGTGCATCCAATACACATACATTAAGGCACCAGGTTACTGAACATGGTTGTTGTTGTGTAAGACTATTGAAAAATGTGTAGTCTCTAAAAGGCATGATACACATCTAACAGTCATAAAAGGGAAACAAATTGGGAGGGAAGAGGGAAAGAAGCAAATCCATGCACTGCAGTGGTACCTTGGCTCACGAACTTAATCCATTCCAGGACTCTGGTCGTGACCCAAATTGGTCGTGAGCCCAGTTAAATTTCCCCATAAGGTTCAATGTAAATAAGGTTAATCTGTTCTGAAACTATTTTTTAAAAATCAGAAAAATGTGAAGCAAAGCGACAAAGAACAACAAAGATCATGGCCATCTCCCTGCCTCCCGCCCCCAGCCTGCCACACACCTGAGATGGGCATGATTGTGGGCACGCTGTGTGTGGAGAGGCAGGCGCGATCGTGTTGGCGAGGGGTAGAGATGGCCCCGATTGGAGTTGCGCTCATGCAGGAAAGCCGGGCGCGATCTCAGCCATCTCCCCCACCCTCCCCCAGCACAATCTTGGCCATCTCCCCACTCCGGGTGGGGCGGGGTGAGAGGGCCATGATCGCAGTTGCCACCCAGGTCGGAGTTTGCGACCTGAGTAAAAATTTTTATGAATTTTTTGTTTGTGACCCAATTTGTTTTGTTTTTTGTTCGCGACCCAATTTGGTTGTGAACTGAGGTGTTTGTGAACCAAGGTACCACTGTAGTTCTTTGTTATAGATTTCTTGGGAATATTCTTTCTGGAAGGGGGAAGCGAGCTCGTTACAGCTGACCCTTTTCTGCCTGAAGGATGGAGCCAGGCTGGTCTTTGTCCTTCTCATGGTGTTCTCCCTGGGAGGAAGTGGGAGAAGGGGCCCAAAACCCTGCATTCCCATGGCCCAAAGTTCTACACTCCCACTGTCGGTTGAAGTTGTGTGTCCTTTCTTTGAGCCAGTGTAGTGTGTTAGACAGAGAGTCGATTGTGGATGTGAGAAACCCAGGTTTAAAGGCTGGACCATGAAGGCTGGACTTGGGCTGGTCAGTTTTCCCCAGCTTAACTCTCACTATTCTAAGGATTGTAAAGCACTCTATGCACTGAATATGGCAGTGACCATTTTCTACCGCTGAGAAGAGAAGGTGGGTGAAAGAAAATTCCACACAGTTACCAGTCTTTGATCCAGACACAAAGCTCTTGTCTTGTGGAAATGACATAGACCCTCCTTAACCACCCTTCTTGCTCATTGGTGTCCCAGGTGCAACAAAGTGTGTTTGTGAAAAAACTGCAAACACACACACACACACACACACACACACACACAAGACCTGCTCTGTGTGTGTGGTTCATGAATAGAATGTGGACAAAAGAAATGCATAAACTTTTGACTGCAGAGAAGTTACTCAAAGTGGAAACACAGCCAAGATGCTAAAAAAGTTGTGATGTTCTCTCTTGGAATTGTCACTTCTACAACTTGAAACTGTTCTGACTGGTTTTGCTTGGATTGTTGTGGTTTTTCTATGGCCTCAGTCTAAGATGTGCATATGTTTACAACACAAGCCTATACATTTCTGCTGAAGCAGATGTCCCCCTGAGTGCAGTGGGGCTTAGTCCCAGGTGTAGCTATAGCATCACGGTCCCATTCTTTCCCTAACGACATTTAGAGGCCTCCGCCTGCACCCACCCAGCCCCCTGTCCAACAGCCACTCAAGAAAGCAGCAGCGAGCAGCCACTCGGGTGTGCGCAGAGGGACTGTGGGAAACAGAAGTGGTGTCAGCTCTGAGCATTTCTCCTCAGGGGAAATAAAGTTGGCGTGGCTAGAGCTTCAGAGGAATGAATATAGGCAATAACCGTAGATTGCAGCTTGAGCTGCTCCGAGGAAGCAAATGCTGCTATCTGAGTGCAAAAGACCAAAATATTCCCCTCTTTTCTTTTCCATGAAGATCTTTGGAAGGTACAAAATAATTTACAGTTTACTTGGTTTTAGTCAGGGTAATTTTTTAAAAATTGTCTAATGAGAACACATTGTGCTAATTTTCATATGCAGATTCAATTAGCATTTAGTTAATTAGCCTTTACAAATGAGGATTAACTTAATTACATAACACTAACCTCTCAATAACTCTAAAGGGTAGGAAGGCTGCTTTTATTAAATTCAGAAGGCCTATATGTGTGTGTTAAAATCTGAAATGGCACACACATAAATTAAAGAATATTACCCACAGAGGAGAACTATTAGAGATGATGATCAAAGGAAACAAACTATGTACATGGCTTGAGAGAGAGGGAGGCTTAGATACAAATTCAAGCGCACAGCTGTCTGCTGGCTTCCAGAGTAATTCCTGTTTTATGGTAGGTTTACTTAATGAAAGAGCTGGAAGCTAATGTTGCGATATTGTCTGTCTGTCTGTCTGTCTGTCTGTCTGTCTGTCTGTCTGTTACATACAATGTGAAGGTAGCCTATATGGGATATTTACAATCCGGGCTGGAGTCGAGTGCAGGAACGACTGGGCTTCTGTCAAGGTCCCCCTAGGAGTTGCACCTCCTCTTCACCATTACAGCCTGCTTGTGGCCTCACCTCTGTCTCTGGCCCAGGCAAAGGTGAGGCTGAAAAGAAGGACCACGAGATGCCGCTGCCTAGTTCCTTGCTGGCTTTCTGCCTGCCCAGCAAGCAGGCCATGGCGATGGTGAGGAGGAGCAACAGCAAGTGGTGGCAGTGCTGGTGAGAAGACCATCGAGCAGCCCTGGCAAGAAGGTCACTGCTCACAAAGTGAAAAACCAGGTGTAGGAAACGCATCCCAGCTGTTCTTGAGAAGCCATGTGCAGTGATGCATGAAGTAAGCTGGTTGCAAGTTCTGTGTTGTTAACAGCAGTGTGGAGTCCCACAATATCTGTATCCAAGATTAAGCTGTGACATTGGCTCAGTTTGAATGTAGCAACAAACCACGGTAGATTAATTTCCCCATGGAGCTTATTGTTGTGTGCAAGCCAACATTTTTAAAATGCAAGCCACTATAGGGGGTGTCTTATGGGTTGCTGTTATATGCCAACCTGGCCAGGGTAGATTATTGTGGCGGTTAACAAACCGCCTGTGACACTAAAAAAACTCATGAGTTCTGTTTGTCATGCAGTCATAAGCTAATGCACCAGTAACTGGTTCCACCTGCATTTCACAAAGCCCTTAAAAAAAATGTGGCAACTGGCCCTCATTTCCCAGGTGTTGTTAAAAATATATATTTATTTAGAAAACTTTTATCCTGTGTTTCTTGCAGCAATGCAAAGCCTTACAATGAATAACAAATGCAACATAACTCAAACAAAGTGTTCCTTTGGTAAACGAATGTTTTGAAATTCTCTGATGCTCAGTGTATCTTTGTAGTGCATTTCCCCCCCTTTTAGAGACTCTACTGCCAGCTTTATTAGACTACTGTTTCAGAGTCTCTGGAGATTCAAATTCCATCATTGACAATTTTATCTGAATATCTTGTGTTTTATCAGAAATCACAAATACCATGAGGAACACTGTTGTTTTACTAAATGCTTCAGGAAAATAAACTGTAGCAGATGAATGAAATATATCAGTGGCTCTTAAATTTTGCTGTGTTAGGGACTGTGCACTGACTTTTTTGACAACTGCATTTTCTTATCTGTGAATGTCAAGAGAGAGGATCTTAGCAAAGTCTGTTTCTTAACTGCTTCCTGTTCTGGAACCTCACCCTTTACACTTGGCTCAATTCATCATAATTCTCTTTGATTCTCTGCTGCAGCCACTTGTGCTGCTGAAAGGACAAACCGTTTTTGGTTTAAGTATTGGAATTTGCACTTAAAAGTGGCTTGTCTTTTTAGCATGCAGTGGAAACTTACAAAAATTTTGACTTTTCAGTATTCTTCTCTGACAGTTTGTGGCCTCATTTCAAGTGCACAGGGGACTAGCTAGGTTTATTTGGTTTTCCAAACAAATTATTCTAAGGGGTAGGTTTTTTCAAAGTTGTGGCCAGCTGGTTAAAATCTGATTCCAGAAAATAATGCTGAAGATGGAATTGAAAGATTAAAGTGTTTAAAGAATGAAAGATACAGTTCAGTACAACCAGAGGTTATTCTGACATTGCAATTTAAGTCAAGATAGACATGTTGTGTCATATCCAGGAAACTGGCATGAAAGGCTGTAATTCAAATCCCAATAAATATATGATTCTGAAGCAGAGCATATCTCTATGCCATAAAATAAAACCCAGCCGTCTTAAAGTAATGCTCTAACATTTGCTCACTGTAAGAATATAGTGTAAAAATACCATAATAACCTCCAAGTGAGATGTTTAATTTTTCTTGAGATAACTTTTTCAGTGTCTCTTCTCACCACCCCCAATCAACAAAGAGCCTTGCAGCCAAGCTCTTGGATTGTTAAGAATTCTGCATTCAATGGTATCATTTGTTGTTGTTCCACAAAGTAGACAAGTCTGTGTTGAAATGGTTGTGAGGAAGAGTATGCAGCATGACCAATACAACCTTAGTTGTGGAGCAGCGAATGGCTTTTCCAGCTTTGGTGGCCAGACCCCAAAAGGAAAATATGTCCAAACCTGTTTCATGTTGGAGAAACAGGATGCCAGGTAGGGAAAGCCTGCAGGGCTAGGGATCCAAACAGTGCTAGCATTCACTCAGGGCAGCAACATTTCCGCCTGTTTAAATGAAAAATGTGCAATCCAAGAAGTGTTACTGGAACACGGTGATTTGATCATGCAGTACAGACTCTGGCATGCTGCACCGTTTTGTGGGTGGGAGCTGCTTACGGAGTCCGGACAGTGGAGCACTTATTTGGAAGTGTGATGAAAAGAACATCATTTTCTGATCTTGGAGCATAAGCCACTGTGGTTTCTGAATGGTTTGTCAAATAACAGGCTGATCAGGGCCACAAGTGCAAAGAACCAGCTATAATTCTGTGCTCTCACTTTATGTCCACACAGGGCTTTTGGGAAAGCCACAACAAACTGATAAATGAATATGGACCTGCTTGTGGGTAAGTTGCATGGCCTTCTTTCATTTCTTTTGCTGCTGCTTTTCTTATTTTCTAGCTGGCTCAGTTACACAAATTTAGTATTAATCCTGGCATGTTCCCAAGCACCACTGATGGCCAAATTGGGCCCCTCCAGATGTTTTGGACTACCTATCCCATCAGCCAGAGTCAGAGGTAGGTTGAGGAAGGGGAGGATTTAATATTCCTAATATGCAGCATGTGGTCTTGCTGGGGGAGTGGGGTTGGGCAGTCTGATCATGCGAATTCTATGCTGTGCCAGCTTCCCCAGTAACTGCTGCATTTCTGAGCCCAGTTCAGTGCCGTTTTTAACCTGTAAAGCTTTCAGGTGGTTTCAAAGGGTCAGCAGCAGTGAGGTAGTTAGGGTACAGAGGGGGCCTTTTCTGCAGTGGTCGCACATCTCTGGAATAGGTTGTTACCTGGGTCCATTTAGGAAGGCCCTAAAGACTGAGTTGTTCACAATATTAACATTATAAATTGTTCTGGTTTGTAGCTACAATTGTGTTGTAGGTGGTTGTATAATTACTTTTGTCCAGTGCTTTTTTTGTTAAAAAAAAATGGTGCCGGGAACTCACGTCCCGCGGCAGTAAGTGCGCAACCACACACCAATCCCAAGCCAGAGCAGCGCCCTCACTATCTCACTATCAGATAGCAGATAGCAGACACAATAGCAGCCTGCAGGCACTATGTTAATGATGTTTGCTGCTGATCTGCTACGATTCAAAATCACTTTGTAAAATCCCTTGGAGAAAAAGGTGCCGGAAAGCTGTTCCGGTGCGTTCTATGACAAAAAAAGCCCTGCTTTTGTCTATGTCAGATGTTTCATTGCTGGTATTTGCTGGTGATTTTATCCCCTTTCAGTCTTTACGGTGTGGGATTTTGTTGCTCTAAGCTGCCATGGGAAGGCTCCTGTTCTCAATGGCGGCCTAAAATATTTTACAAAAAGAAAGTAATAATGCAGTAAGATTTTACCAAAGAGGGTGTTCATGCAAGGAAATGGAGATGGAAAGCATGATATAAGCTATGCTCAGCAGTACAAGCCACCATTGAGATCTGCTTAAGATCTGATAAAATCTTGACCACATCTGCCAGCATTTGTCTTACCTCTCTGTGACCTGGATTTCTGCTCCGTATCAGACTCATCATGTCCTCCTTGCATGCTTAGAATAAAACCAGAAAAACAAGGTGGACCATTTACTGCTCTTTCTAAAAAAGGTAATATTCAAATGGTATGCATAGATCTATATTTTGAGCAAGGGAAATCATTTAATTCAGCCAAATTTTAAAGTTATATACTGTAGTTGTAACCTTGAAATGAAGCTAACTTAGTGTTCTGCAACGTCACTCCAGCTAATCTTCGTTAACTGGAGCAGCTCAAGTCCAGCAAGAAACGCAAATGGTGAAGACAGGCCCAGTGGCTTGAAAGTAACCTAATGCTAGTACAACATGGGTCAGTGTTCACTAGCAGTTCTCGTAAATGCTTGTGGAGCAACTAGCATGGGAACATATAATTTGTTTTGGCATGGTATGTTTATATTTCCCTGTTTTATTTTGGGGAGGACTATTGCCTGTGTGTATGTGTGTGGTTTGTCTGTCTGAGCAATATCAGTTTGCCTTCTGTGAGCTTGTAACATTCTGCTGGGGCAAGCATGCGATTACGAATTGGGAGTTAAAAAGAGTGGTTACAAGATTTGTAGCCCTGGCCTCACCTGTGCCTTGTGCTTCAGTTGGGCAAATTAATTTTCTTTCAATCTCACTGGTTTTAATCCTTTGAAATTGGTGTTTTGGGACTGGGCACACCCGCTGTGCCAGCCTTTTCGTGCATGGGCAAGTCTCTTCCATAGTATCAATTTTCTAAGAGTGACCATAACACCCTCCCAAAATTCCAAATATTCCCACCAACCCCAAAAGTTTGAGATTCTTTACTAATGGTGATCAAATTATAATTAATTGTAAATGCAATTGCATGAGCAGAATCAAAGCATTTGGTTTGACTCTTGTGCAAGACTGGAAGTTGATTTTCAGCAGGTGTTAGGTGTTTCATGCTAGCAGAATATTACCACTGTAACATTCAATATGAAGAAAGCTCCAGACGCATCTCTGAGTCATAGGATGAGCTGAAGTGACAGATGTGCCTGCTGACAAGTTTGGTGCTGGTCCAGCTGGCGTTAGACAACATGACATTTCAGCAACAACCCATGGTTCAAGGGCAATCCATGTACAGTCCATGGTCAACCATTGCCTGTGGGTTGTTATGTTCAGATTTTCTTCTAGGGCTGAGGATGGCATAGATTATTCCAGGTTAGGTAGAGAGGTACGTCAACTTGAGAGATTGTAAAGGTAAGGGAGTTCCTGCGGATTTTACTCCGCTTAGCCTGCACCTAATGCTGGTGGTGCTCATCTCCATTTCTAAGGCAGTGCTGTCCAAAGATGATCCTGTGGTCATGTGCCCAGCATGGCATCATGGAGCACTGTTACCTTCCCACCAAGGTGCTACCTATTTATCTACTAGCATTTCATGCTTTCGAACTGCTCAGTTGGCTAAAGAGCTCACGCCTTCTGGCAGAGGCTGAGCATAAACTCCAGAGTCATTAAGCTGTTGCCACCACTTCCCCGGAGAGAGTGTACCTGGCAATTGCCATGCCTAAGTGTGGATTTCAAGCTGCATCTTGTCTTCCCAGCAGAAGAGAACACAATGTATGAATTTGCACAGCTACCACGGCTTTAAAAATTGTATATTATCCTTAACCCTGATCTTAACTTGCAACTTGCAGTGCCCTCAAGATATGTTAATTATGTTCAGATGCAATTATGCAATGATTAGATGGGGGAAAGTCCTGCAACTTCCATCTTGGCCTAGCTAGCATGGTGGCCAGAAGAATTCTGGAACTGGAGGGCTTTTTCTATTTAAAAATGCCTAGAATTGTTCCCTCACTTAACTGTCAGAGTAGAGTGTGTAAGGACCTGTGCTACATAAGAAGCTCACCTCTTTAACAGTTTGTTTGACCTATTCTTGTGTTTGGTATTTTGTTTTACCACATTTCAGAGGTGGGTGGGGGTGGAGGGTTTTCTGTGAGTCATAGTCAGCATTGCCTGTAGTCAAGGGCTTTTGCAGTTGTAACCCAAAACCTCTGGAGGTCCCTGGGGTGCCCATCCCGCTGTAGATGAAGCTGGTTAGAGCAGAATCAAACAAAAAGATAATAGGCAAGAATCTACAACTGGAGAGGAGGGATAATAGAGCCAGCCATAATATTGATTGTCCTAAGGGTAAGGAAAGCAAAGCTGGATGTTCTTGCTATTTGAAGAACTGGGATATGGTGGAGGGGAAGGGAACAATGTTTGCAGTTTGGCAGTTGGATATGAGAAATTCTCACTCAGATTCTCATGATTATTGGAATTTGCATGAGGAGTTCTGAAAACCCAGCACTGTTTTTGATGTGATATTAGAGTTGCAAGTTCAGAGTAAATTTTCATATTTAAGGATATATTTCATGATTTCATGTACTTGTGCATGTTACTGCCAGAAGATCGAGCTTGCATGTAATCCTTTTTTCGTTTTTCAGAAACACTCATATGTCATATCTCCATGCTTAAACAGCACACATTCCCAAGAAGTATGTGTGTAATAATTTTAAACTCTTTCTAGTGACAAAAAGAGACATGCTAATTATTTTAAGTGCAATTTTCTAGATATTGCAATATTTTAATTAGTGTTGAAATGTTGGGAAGGAAATTCTTACTTAATGGGTTATCTTTCTGTTATCGTTCTTCATTATTCAGATATTAAGGATTTTCTATAAATGTAATAAAACCCCTCAATATTTGAATTCATTAAAGAACTTAGCTACTTGTTCTTCATTCTTTATTATTTTGCTTATGCTACCTAATTTTTACAATATTCTTGAGTGCTTGAGGTCTTCTTGAAATCCTTGTTGCTGGAATCCTAAAGAAGTAATATTTCTGTCCTCATCTTTTTCTAACACGATAGGTCTTTATTTGACTTGTGAAATTTTGAACAAACCTTTTTATTACTACCATCCTCTGAGTGTTGGTTCTTGTGTGACCTAAGTGGCACCATCCACATATCGATGCTATATGGGCAGCCTTTGAGGAGAATCCCAAGGTCTGCAGAAGTACAAAAAACCTTTGGGAAAAACCACCTAATGAAGGAAAGCCCCTAAAACACTCCAGTGAGGATGGCTGTACGTTGGGCAGGGGAGAAAACAAGCACTCACAGGGCAGGTGTCCCAGCTCAGCAACTGCTGACACCTTTATACACACAGGCACCTGCAAACGTCTTTTCTCCCTGTTCCCTTCAAAACAATAGCAACATGTAAATAAAATACTGAAAAATACTTCAATATTTGGAGTACTAAGTTCTCCTTTGTGTTCTTGGACTTGCTGATGTTCAGCTGTTCAAATAATGGGAAGAGAAAGCAAAACAAAGGGATAAAGGGCGAGGCTAAGGACTAAGAAGGGAAACAAAGTAAACTAGGGTTGGAAAAGGAGATAAATAGTAAAGAAAGGGATGGGGGAAAATAGAGAGGCGGGAGGGGAGTGGGGAGAGAGAGATCAAAGGGAAATGGTTTTGGAAAAAAGATGGAAGAAAAGTGGGTAGGCCAGGAAGCAACTCTTTCCATTTCCTCTTTCCATGCAACCTTGACCCAAACTATTTTTCCTCCCACACCAACCTCTTGACTAACCAGGACCTCACAACAGCCATTGTATGACTAGCCACATCTTCCATGGGAGACATTTTGTGGTGCTGCCAGGGTACAGACAGTGCCCAGGTTGCAAACGATTTGTGTTCCTGAGCAAACAGAAATTCATCTTCAAGTTGAATTTGGTGATGTAAGTCGGACAGTTGGCCATCTGCATTCATTGGGGTTAAGGGTTCAGGACCCCTGTGAAAGTGGAAAAACCGCAAGTATCTCTAGTCCCCCTTCTCCCACCAGTGCCTCCTCTTAGTACCAAGGAAATGGCAG